CCTCAGCCCAGCCCGCCTATTGCTACCTGACTTCACTAACACAGGATGTCCACTAAAGCTTCTCAGTGTGGCCTGACACCTGATGCCCACTTACTTCTTGTGCACCTCCTGCCACGCCACTTCCTCACACTGCACTTGGCAGATGCCTGACAACTTCTTTACACATTGAAGAGCTGTTTATAAATTCCCAGCCCTTGTTTCTTCTGGACTCCTGTGTAACACAGTGTATATCTGTCTGACTTGCACTTTTTTTTTTTTGAGACAAAGTCTCACTATGTAGTGGTCCAACCTTGAATTATGTAGCCCAGGCTAGCCTCAAATTTACAACATTCCTGCCTCAGCCTCCCGAGTGCTGGGATTATTGATTTGCAACACTGCACCCTGCTGATCTGCAGATGTTTGCATAGTACACCAAGTCTGTCTCCACTTCATTTTTTGTGGTAGTGGAAACTTAAAACCCCCTTCCCAATGAGGTACAACCACAGCACTTTAAAAAAAAAAAAACTATATTTTTAGATAGGGTCTCATTACCTAGCCCAGGCTGGCCTTGAATTTGTGGCTTTGTGGTGACTCTCCAGCCTCGGCCTCGTGAGCACTGAGTTTACAGGTGTGTGCCACAACACCCGTTTTTGTTTGAATTCTGAGACAAGGTGTAGCTAATTTCTTAAATTGCCCAAGTTGGGCTTGAACATAAGATCGGCCTGTCTCAGCCTCCCAAGTATCTAAAATTACAAGTATGTGTCACCACATGACTCTGCTGCTCCTTTTAAAATTTCTACAACGTGGGCCGGGGATTTAGCTCAGTGGTTCTGCCGCCTGCCTCACAAGTGCAAAGACCCAAGTTTGACCCCTGGTACCAAAAATAAAATAAATTTCTACAAAGCAAGGCATGTAACCCCAGCACTCAGGAGGCTGTGGCAGGATGATCTACAGTATTCAAGTCCAGCCTGGGCTACATAGTGCGTTCAAGGCCAGCCTGAACTCCATAGTGAGACCCTGTCTCAAAATGAAATAAAATTTCTACACCTTATACAGGTCTGTTATGAACTGTTAGTCAAATAACTGAACAAGATTAGCATGCAGAAGTCCTGCATTTCATCTCCACACCAAAGCATAGAGAGCCTGACAGCCCAGTGTGGTGGCACACACCTGTAACTTGAGCTCGGTGGAAGGCTGAGGCAGGAAGATTGCACGTTCGAGCACAGCCTAGGAAACATGATCATTTAGTGAGATCCTGTCTCAAAAAGTAAAAAAATAAAGGGCCAAAGATATAGTTAAAGAGAAGGCCCTGGATTCAATCCCCATCACCAGATTAAAAAAAAAAAAAAAAAAA